GCCATCGGTGACCTGAGGCCCCCCTTGTCTGAAGGTTATTTGGGCTCCAATCTTGGTTAGCAAGTCCCGTCCTAATAGGGGGTAGGGGCATTCTGGTATTACCATGAAGGAATGGGATACCCGGCCCGTTCCTAGATCTACTGTTCTTCGGGTAGTCCATGAGTACTGGCTAATGCCAGTTGCCCCTTGCACCCAGGACTTTTTATTAGCTAGCTTCCCCTAAGGTGTGCGGAGAACCGAATGTTGTGCTCCAGTGTCGACAAGGAAGTCAACAGGGGTCCCCTCCACTCTAAGAGTTACCCTGGGCTCGGGGAGGGGGTCCAAACCCCGACTCCCCTAATCACTCAGTCCTTCCAGCTCCAAGACCTCCACCCAGTCTGTCTTGTTTTCCTTTTTACCAGCCTTCTTTGGGCATTCTCAGACTCAGTGCCCTATCTCTTTGCAGTAAACACACTGGTTCTGTTGCAGCTTCTTTTTCCTTCCCAGGGCGGTCCCCTTACCTCTTTCTTGGCCATTGGCAAGCTGGCGAAGGCAGCGGGTCCGCTCCTCAGGGGACTCCGTGGTGGTGGCTAGCAGAATCTTGGCCAGGTTTTGGGTCTGCTTGTCACTGGCAGCCACCATGGCGCGGGCTTGCCTTTCCTCAGGAGACTCTCGGTTGTTATACACCGTTGTTGTACACCTTTTCGGCTACTACCAGCAAGTCCTGCAGACTTTTCTCCCCTAGTCTATCTATCTTCTGCAGTTTTCTCCTAATGTCTGCAGCAGATTGTTTTACAAAGGCCATGATAACAGCCGCCTTGTTCTCAAGAGTCTCTGGGTCCATGGGGGTATAGGTACAGAACGCCTCCATGACCCGCTCTAGGAAGGCCGCTGGAGATTCATCCTTCTCCTGCTGTACATTTCCTACCTTAGCCAAATTAGTCGGCTTCCTAGCAGCCAATCAGAGACCCCCCATTAGAGTCTGGCGGTAGACCAAAAGCCTCCCCTTACTTTCTGCCGTGTTGAAATCCCATTCAGGCCTAGTTAAGGGAAAAGAGACATCTATCTGGGCCTGGTTGGTGGTTGGGTTTCCGTCCACGCCTGGAACCACTTTATGGGCCTCATTGAGGATTCTTTCCCTCTCCTCAGTTGTGAATAGGATCTGTAAAAGCTGCTGGCAGTCGTCCCACGTGGGCTGGTGGGTGAAAAGGACAGAATCTAGCAAGTCAATAAGTCCCCCTGGCTTCTCGGAGAACTTAGGGTTTTGTGCCTTCCAGTTATAGAGGTCACTGGTTGCGAAAGGCCAGTAGTGATGGGGCTGGTTACTGTCCGCATCCGGGGGTCCAGCAGCCCGTAAGGGCAGGGTCTTGATAGTGGAGTCGGGTGATGCAACAGACAGCTCCCGCTGAGCTCTCTGCCGGTTGAGAGGCGGGCCTCCTACTGGAACCGCGGCCACTCTCGGAAATCCACCCCCAGCCACTCCCAGAACTCTGCCCCCAGCCACTCCCGGAACTCCTGGCGTGGGATGATCGCCCCCCTGTGGGCTATATTGGGGAGGAAAGATTAGTTATTCTTCAGTCCCCCCCTGCAGGACAGGGTAGGGGGGAGCTGATGGCTGGGTGAGATTCTTCTTTTTCTCCTCCTTTTCTGTTTCCTGCAAAGCAAGAATGGGCTGCGGCCCAGGAGGGCGTGAAGGTAGGAAGGGCCTAAGCCAAGATGCCAGGTAACAATGTAAGAGAGTTGATCAGGATGTCTCCCCCTGAGTTGGGAGACGACGTCCCTGACCCGGTGGATGGTGGGGAGGTCAAAGGGCCCCTCCGGCGGCCACCCGATGTTAAAAGTCGGCCACTCCCTGGAACAAAAAGTCTGCCACCGGCCTTTCCGGACCTCCACACTGAGGCTGCTGGCTCTTCCCTTTACCTCTTTAAAATGATCGACCATAATGCTTAAAGGAGTAGTTTCAGTCTGTCCCATAATGTCCGTCCAGTAAGTCCACAGAATAAAACAAAACAAACACAAACACATACAGCTAAAGGGCCGAAAAGTATAGTCTTCCAACTCCATGGAAGCAAAAACCGACAGCTAGATGATGGCTGTGCGCCAACCAGTGGGAGCGACCCGCCTCGTCTCAGATTGAGGGGTTTCTACAGACCTTCTGACTCCGCGGAAGCAAAACTACGCCCCTCCAGATGGAGGATCGGGGAGTCCCCCGACTCCTCTCGCCTGTGATCCCCCAGTGCATCCACCTAGACCGTTTTGGGCAATTACAGATTTCAGAAGTGAGCTCACACAGGACAGATACAGAACAAGTCCCTGAACAGAGGGAGTAGAAAACTGCCTAGGAATGCTTCTCTTCTACCTTTTTTAAAAGATAGGCCAGATTCGAACCTTTAGCCAGTCCGAGTTTTTACTTCCCTTTGGAAGTCCCAGAGACGGTAAATACCATCTAGAAGCCATTCCTCCAGATACAGGACAAGTCCCTTAGAGATAACATATATCACACAGAACAGAATACACAACACACAGACACCATGGTCAGTCAGACTCTCCGGATCGGGGGTCCCTCGAGGGTCTTGGGGATCCCGGGCGAGCCCCCAAATGTTATGCCCAGATTTCAAGATCCCCAATAGACCACACCAGGGAGCCAGCCGTGTCCGACGCAAAAGCAAAGAGTCTTTTATTCAAACCCGGGCTTGGCTCCCCTACCCTCCTTACTGACACAGCAGCAAGTGGCAGAGAGAGGGCCAGCCCTGTGGGGAGAGAGGTTTTATAGTAAGGGGAGGAGAGAGGACTGTGGGCCCTGCCGATTGGCCAGG